TGAAGATTAATAAAGGGCTGCTAAAGTGTTTTTGATTGCCTGTGGCAATTGTTTCCCTTCATTTTGACATATCCCTGTTGCTATGTAGAATATGTCCTTTCCCTCCCATCTAGGGTCAATTTCATAGCGATACCTTGAGAATCAACACCACCTCCTACCCTTAAGCCAGTCCATTATGTCAAGTATCCCATTGTTTTGTTATGCACAAAAAATTCCAGTGTTTTGCTACACAATGACATACTGTCTATTTTACAAAGAGGATAGTATAACCAAACTTGCTGGTGGAAGTCATTCTCTATCGAAATTAGCCTCTTACATTGAATGTCGGCTTATCAAGGATAAAGGACAATTTAAAGGTCACCATGTTGCCAATAACAGAGGTCTGACCTTAAGAGAGAAAAAGAAAATTTTCTAGCTGTTGATGAGTTAAGAGAAGCCGAGGAGAAGGAGTTATAGAATGGACATTCCTATTTGGGTCAGGTGAAAAATTTCTCCTAAGCAAATCCAGTTGCCATTCTGATATCTAGGTGAGATGAATGGCTGTTAATTGTTCCAGTAAACTAAAGCAAGTGAACCATCAATTCATTCCACTCATTCAGTGATCTATTATTTACTTTACTCTTCATACTTTTATGACTTTTCATAAGAGATTTTTGAAGTTTTGTTATCCTGATTCATTGTGCATGAATCTTTACTTAACAAAGCTCTTCTACAGGAACCTAAGCAATATACGAAACATTTAGACACTATAAATAGAAAACAATTACTTAATGGGTGAACCATGTGATATGAGCGAAGCCTTTTTGTCAGATAAATTCTCTTACCTGAACAGGCATTAACTATAAGTTTATGGTCATAGTAAACACCATTGCGAACAAGTTGGTGGAGGCAGACAGGCAGATGAAAGTGTCTGGTCTGAGGACAATTACTGTAGCAATCAATTTTCCTCTAATCTTGCAACAAAGCTGTCTTTTGCACCTCAGTTGACAAGTGTGTTTTTCCTTTACCCACCGTCTCATTTTTTTTAACCTAAGGGGATCAAAAAGTACTTTGACTGTTGGGTAAAGAATACTGCATCTTTTCTAGGCAATATCATTCACCAACATCCTCGGTATCAAATCAATCCATTCTCTAATGAAAGTGGAACATGCAGGTTTGTTCTGTTGAGGATAGTGGTGTAGCTCTTCAGAGTATCTAGGATAAAAATTATATGTATTTCGGTATTAAAGAGGACCAGTAATTAAGGTCATGATAGGCTGATTGTCTGTAGACACGAAAATCTGTTCGCTATAGTAGTGGTATAGGTCATTAAGGAAATCTGTCAAGTTTTATTATTAACTTCAAAAGTTATCAACTCAAAGGCAATCATGAAAGTACAATCTGAGTGTGACCAAGAGGGCAGATCAGACAGCATAACAGAACAAGTCTTAGCACGAGTTCGCTGATCTGCCTGCAGTAGTGCGTAAGTTTAAAGGGTGCTTTGATGTTTGGACAGAAATTGGACAGATTGCATGAATAGCAAAGCCTGGTATCCATCTGAGATCTCAGATCTATTAACATTTCAGTGTTTCAGTTTTGCGCATTCAAAACATTAAGGCCATTGCCATTAGATTAAGGAGTTGTGCAGAGGAATGTAATTTTTAGTAGTGCAGAAGTTGTACCTTATACACTTATGCAATTTACATAATTTTAATGAAAAATTGTTTTCTACAGCACCTCTTACCAAAACATTGGAATGTATTTTGTCCTAAGTTCGAAATTTTGTGTCAAATACGCTTTTTAGGGCTGTCGAGCTTTTTAAGCTCTATTTGTTTTTATGTGCTGCTTTGGAATAAAATAATTTTGTTTTCCATCATGGAGCCGCTTAAGCTCTTTAAGCCACCATATTCAATAGTTGGGGAGCATTGTCCAAAAAATATGTCACCGTATTCTGCATCTTTTTAAAAATCTTCAGATTGTTATGGTCAAGAGGTCAAGTTTTGAACGTTTTTCTGAAATTCTTGTAAATGCTATTCATCCAAGGGACTCAGTAAGTCTAATGCCAAGTACTAAACCGTGGTGTGCGGACCTGGAACAAGGTGAAGAATGGTGTTTGACTCCCTCCGCGGAATCAAGGTTCGTGTGCTTAATTCCCGTCAAAAAATGTACTTTTGCCTCCACTTTCCGGTGTCACGCAGCGCCTGGCCATGCAAAAGCCACCATCGGAGGCTTAATGATTGCACTCCGCATTAACGAATTTGCATTACTCAAAACCCAAAATGTTTTGCAACATTATTTATTGTGTAGAAAGGGACTGGACATATTCGGTTTAATCCTATAGAATGATCACCTAAAAAAACTCTCTCATTGCCAACATAGCATTGCGGTATTTTAAATTTATATTGCTGACACCAAATGGGAAAATTATTCTTTAACGGCTAATTTCGTGGATTTTTATTTTATTTTCAAAATCTTAAAAGACGATACCACTTTGAAACTTTGGCTGCTATTATTCAGTATTTGAAAAGAAGAAACTTGTGTCTTTTCAGTTGCTCCTAATATGCTCTAGATAAGTAAATACATGGGTCAAAGTTGTCACGTGATTTTTATATCACTGCACTAAAGAAGAAAATATTTTCATATCTTTGAAGCTTAGCATCGGTAGATTTTCCCTCCAAGTTTTACAATAAGTGTGAATCCCTGAGAATAGTTCTGAATTGAAGTGTAGCTCCGTGGGCCTTCTCCAAAGTTGTAATAAGCCCTACCATTATAAAATATGATTGGTTGCTAGAGTACCGATGGAATGAAAAGCCACAGGCTTGGCCGACGGCCAATTTTGGCAAGAGGGAGATGCAAACTACAGAGGCTGTCGAGTCTGTCTGCAACTAGTCTCACCAGTGCCGAACAGAGCTGGAAAACTCTTTCAACAGAACTGCTCCGAATAAAATGGTGATTAATAGTCCATGGGTTACCAAATTGATTACAGTTTCTTGTGATATCAGCAAGAGACAATTAAGATTTTTCTTATTGGGATTTTCGTTAAACATAGTAGAAGGTGCTGGGTTCTAGAGACCTACTAAAATAATTGCTTTCAAATGATTAAAGCTTACAAGCAGAATTACTTTTCCTCCACTGAAGCCACACTATCAAGTTTCAGTGATATCCATTTTGTAAAACAGGAATGCACACTGTTTACTTTCTTCTAATCTTTCCATTCTTCCTATCTATTTATTGCAATAATGAACAAATCAGCTGCAGTTCAATGCACGCTTAGTCTATAAAGCTTTATGGACATGAGAGAAAGGAGGGAGAGAGAACTCTGTCCGATTAAAAGCAGTCGCTGTTTGGGTCATGAATGAGAGACCAGTTCAACTAGCCGTCTACATACGCCATCTGCTGAGCTTCCGTGAAGTCCGCTGCTATACTCTTTTAATATATTCCGGTCTTTGAGGAAGACTACATGCAGCAAATAGTCGGAAGATATAAAATTTTGGTATTTGACGTGAAAATTATGCGGTGAGTAATGGTGGCAATTTATGACCTGCAGTGAAGATTCATTTAAAATGTTGGAGAAGGATGAATAACATAAAGTTCAATATTAACGCAAGGAGGGAATTTTGTTTCAGGTAAACTGATAAATTACAAAATTGAAATGCTTTCAAGTATCTCAAGGGAATTAAAAATTTGCTACATTTGTGAAAAAAAGCGCAAAACCGACTGAGAGTGATCAGATGTTTCTTCCCCTGGGATCACCGCTACTTGATAAATTATTAATCATTCATTTCGCTGAAGAAAATAAATTTAACTTATAAAATTAGATGTGCAATAGTATATTTTAAATGGTAGAAGCATTTTCCAGTTAAAAGTGACAGTTTACTTTTATAAGTAATTTAAAAGAATGCAACCTTGGCAGTAATGCGTGCTAAAGGAATTAGTGGGTGTGACCTCTCACTAGCATTTATTACTCATATATGGGGTCAGTGCAGGCCTATCCACTCCAGTTCATGCACCCCTCCTCAAAATGGAAGGCAATGGTGGGAGGTTTCTTGTCAGCTAGATACTTAAGGGTATCTACTCCTATTCACATAGGATTTCAGGCACAGCACAATACAGTAGGCCCCGCTGATTGATAATGGATGCAGACTGTGTCACTTGTCCAATGTGACTGCAAATCCCTGTGTTTGAACAACAGTGGCGGCTTCCATAACAGGACGATACTTTCTGTGAACAATAAGTCAGTCTGTGGAACACCGGATTTTAGAAGCTGGCAGAAGTTTCGTGTAAACTGTCAAAATTTGTAGGAGAGACAAGTCGTGCGATGCACATAGTGATTACAATCCTTAAAATCGAGATGTATTTTCTATGGGCTAATCAGTGCGTGTTGGGTATCATAACAGGCATGGAGACAGGCGAGCGAACAGGCGGTGAGGCAAAAATACCGGCATCAGATAGGCGGGTGGGTAGACTGACACATGATAATCTAACCCTACCTTATGATACCACCAATTAATTCCTAAATTTCACTTCTTATCTTTTTAAATCTTATTGAACAATACGTGGGAGTGTGGGTCCTCAGTATAGGCGTTTTGCCTTGTACATGGAATCGGAAAGTTAGAAACATATATATACGAAAGGTTTGAGAAGTTGTATAAATAGATGGTAGCTGAAGAATAGACTATCACCGATGAATGGCTTTCACCGAGATTTCTCCAAGGAAAGATTTACACTGGAAAGATGAAAAAATGTTAGATTTTACAGTATGCTGAATAGAGGAGTTATAACTGCAATCATCAAAATGGTCCAGTAACTCATTCCACCTTTGTACTTTGTTATACCTAACTTTAACATTGTATCAGTTGTATGATTAGTAAGTTTGGTACAAAGTAAGAGAAGGCTAGACAGACGTACGCACGTCTGACTGTCAAAATCAACTGTTTAACAAAGCTGCCATACAACCAGATTTATGCCTGGACGCAACTTTCAAAGTCACAATACGCACTGTACGATTGGTCTTCGCTAGCGCTAAACAAACTGAGCTCCTGCTATTTTAGACATAAATATTAGTAAACTAGAGGAAAGTAGCATCATAGGAGAGTCAAACCGGAGTGTCTGAGAGCGATCTTTTGAGGCTGACTGCTAACGAATGCAAAGCAGGCTATTGTGTAGGTTATGGAAGAAGAATGGCCTGACTAATGTACATAAAACTCCCCTCCCTTTCAATTTGAGGCCTGATAACCATCGCTAAAGTCAAGGCGGAATATATACTGTTGTTATTAATTCTCGGACTTTGATGTAGGCGATTGAGTGGGCATGACATGGAAGTCACCGATTTCATACAATGCTTGTTCCTCAATATGTGTCCTTCTTTTACTACACTCTCAATAAAGCGCATAAGACTACATTCCGATTGTATAGACGTTAGATCTTGTGTTATCTGAAGGTGGATGCAGTCTTAGAATCGCCAAGTCGACAAATGAAGTTAGCGGAATGGCCCACCTAATCAATACCTCTATTAAAGTGCAAGGTTTCCATGGCAGAACCCAAATTGATCCTAGGTTGAACAATTCAACAATTATTTAAAAATTTGCAATATATTTACTTTACTTTACCCCCTACTTGTAGAAACTGTATTACATATCCCAACCTTTACCGAATATACTCGAAGATTCCTGTAATTTTAGTAGGCAATATAGATGACATTTACTACAAAACTAATGATGTTTTAAAATTCCAGGCTCCACCGTTGTGCTTTGGCTTGGCGGCCTAAGCCCTTAGCCATGCCATCAGCCTGCCTGCCCAGTAGTACGTCGGTAGTACATTTACTGTCTCTGTATCATGACATTTTTGGACTTCAGACAAGCCTCGGAGTGCCACTTTTACGCCACCGAGTGCTTTTCACGATTCTTACAGAATGTATTGTGTCCGATCCCTCAGAGGTCGTAAGTCAAATGCTTTTCGTGTAACCTTCAAAAGTGGGACCTGATTAATATGGTATTTGCAGTCGACAGTATTTTGTCTTTACTCTCCTGAAGTTTATCCATATTATCCTTGATTATAAACCATTATTAGTACATAAAACATTTTCGGACACCTCAACTGCTTCACATATTTGGATAGGTAGGTACATAGCAATTGAAATTTCAGTATACTGAAGGTCAAATAATAAGAAATAAACCTTCTAGGACTTTTTAGTCTAGAAGCTTATCTAAATCAACTACGGCCCCCTAAAGACAAAAGAAGACATAATACTTGGGCATAATGTTTTGCCGGCGTATAGAAAGGCTATGACTTACTGGCATGGCTGGAATATAGTCCAACCATAAACTGATAAAGTATATCTGTCATGTATTGTGACATCAGGCTCAGGTGAGAGATAACAAATGGCGGAGATACTACGCCGGTTTCAAATTTGTTAACCAAATGATACTCGTTGCTCTTACTTTTTGACATCAAGGGTCCGAGAAGGAATGCTCATTCCATACCTCCTTCTTCCTTGCTGTTTCCGCATTTATTAACAGTCAAAAATATTCCTACATTTATCTTAAGACCAGGCCCCTATTGTTGGCAACACCGCAATCCATAAAGTCCCCTCTGATCGTCGTAAGCAAGAACTTAATATGGGTGCTTAATTCTGGTCGCAAATTGCTTTCACTAAACAGACTGCCTAGCCAATTTAATTTGTAAAAATGCCTCACCAGAGGTTTTGTTTTAGTTTCTAAAGTGGGGTAATACATCTACTTGATTGATCTGCATCGAGAGTGCAGGCAGAAAGGAATGCGAATTCACCTACCACACATCTGTGCCTCTTTACCGGTGTATTAAACCGCGAGGAGCTCGTTACCCTCGGCAAATTGTTTTATAAGGCAAAATTTCTTTAAATGAATTAATCTGTAGTTTCAAATAAAATTTCAATTTTGTTATCTTTTCAACGAAACCGTCGTTTTTTAATCCGGATTAGCAATTTTTTTTACACAAGACTTTGCTCCTATTTTAATATCTAAGATACCACAGTCAAAACCAAACGAGGCCATTTCCTAAGAAGATGGACATGCTTGTGGAACAATAATTTCCTCGTCATAATTACAAAAAAATGTAATAGATTCGCCACTGTTGCTCTAAAAAATTATGTCTTCTATGATTTTTCAGTAATTTAGAAATGCGTCTCTATGACGGTGACCCTCGATACACTAGCGTTTACTCCCTCCCACTTACTGACAAGGCGGACAAATTTTGACGTTATCAAGGTCATGAGACATTTCCATAACTCAAAAACAATTCCATATGTCCTCCAGATTCACACACATCTCCCCAGTTCGGTGCCGTCAAGATGCCGATTAATGATTGAGGACTCTCAAAAAGAGTGCACTCTAAGGGTAGAAATCACTGACCTCAGAAATTGGATTCGCTCTGCAGACATTATTCGTCACACTTACTGTCTCAATTACATGGTGATGGATTTGTCGACCAAAAGATTGCAAATTCGATAGGATCATTGTGTTATCCCTATTGTTCTCATTAAAAAGTCCACACTGGCTTATGTATACTTGTTTTTTACCAGACCAACTTGATTTTATTCATTCTAAATCCACTTGAATTAGTGGAGTTGCGGTACTGGGAGAAATCGAGGGGTGAATAAGACTGTTCTTCGAGCACTTGACAGATATTGAAGAGGTCAGCTTCTATAGCACATTTATTGTGAGAAGAGGAGTATTACGTCTGAAGAATTTTGAATTGCCTTTCGGCTGTTGGAGTTAAACGTGTGCGTGTAATGTACACGAGGACGATGGCATTACGATGGTTAATCCAAGAGTGGGGAAGTTGCCAGTATAGGGGTCATTCAGAGGGTGAAGGAGACCTTGCACTTTTCCTATCGGCCAGAAGCCATTTCGTAGCAAGTTTTCACAAACGTAGGTTCGTCATATGCACCTCACTCACACACACACAAACATATTTCCTTTTGAAGGCACGACACATTGTAAGGAGAGCGCGCTGTCAGCTTTACCTTCTTATGAAGCAGGAAGAAGGCATCACAATTTCTTTACCCAATTTGAGACTGCTACTGCCTGAGCAATATTTCTATCCAAAAAATTTCATTCCAAAATTCAAAAGGATTACCCAAAATGAATTAATTGCATTTCGCAACGGATATTATGGCTTGTGGGATCAGCCAAATGCGAAGATTCTTTTGCCCTCAGTAACTAGAGGTGAAGAATTTTCTCCCTGTCAAGTGAACTGGGGGCCTTCGTGTAGAAAGACGCTTGATTTTTGGGCACATAGTAATATAACGGAGGTTCTTGCCATACTAGACCAACTTTGGGGATGGAAAGTGTTCTTAATTCCCAAAATGGGCCCAAAATGGACTCGAGACAAATACCCCAATAGCCACTCTGAAGCATGAGTTCATGTGGATGATTCCAGATAACAAACACCTAAATTATTGACGCAAATCAGATTAGACCTGCAAAAGTTGTAAAAAAGCACGAGAATGATAGTGCTTGCTTTTCTAGGAAATGCAGTAGCCTAAAATTCTTAAGTTTTACATTATTAAATGGTCTTATTGTTTCTCTGCTTTAGTGTGCTAACTATTCGGATTTAGGATTGCGATAATATTTTTTCTTGACAATTTCAGCTGGCGGTTGTTCGGTTCGCTGGTATCTGCAGCATTTGTCGAGGCCTTCTGTTTGCAGAGACACTCCAATTAACCATAAAGGGGTAGTGTAACAAACAGTTGTAAGTTTATCAACAAAAGCCACGGCTTAAATATCACCTTTAAATTGTCTCGCTTAGAGGTAGGAATACCACCTAAATAGAGGATGTTGGATTCCGCTCTTCAACATTTGTGTCTTAGTGGTTTAGCTTACTAAGTTAAGCGGCTAGTAAAAAAGTATTTTTTGAACATTGATGTCATTCAACTGTTTTTACTTTAGCTCACCCACATTACGACTGTAGTGTCGTCCACTTTCTACTCCAGTTCCACCAATTATTCAAATGGCAGGAGAACGAAAGATTTCCTTTACATTACAAAGAAGCCATGGCAATCGCTAACACCGAAAGGGAGAAGTTATGTCCAGAGTAGCCATTACCTATGACGCTGACACACAAAGGAGTGTTCAATGCGGTTGACTGCGATCCCAGGAATATTACTACCAAGCAAGTGAATTCGCATTCTTGGACCTAGTTGTAATTTGCAAGCTTCAACGACAGTAATCAATCGCTTTCAGGGGCAGAAGTCCTTTTTCAAAGCATCGTCGTGTTGCGTTTCCTTATTAAAAGTTGCATTTCGCCCACAAGTGAATTTATACGGAGTGCGGAATTAGAAGCTGAGTCGCGTGGTTTAGGAAGTTTGCACAACTTGAACTTGGTTTACTTTTGCTTCTCCACTTAACCTATGCAGGCGAATCAAGCAGAAAAATATTTCTTCGCCAACGTTTTTCACTTCTGGCGCTTCATATCTCAATGATAATTTTGTCATTTAAACTATCACCAAGTTGAGGCCCTTCCTTTTACCTTTAAATAGCGCACCGAATCGCTTTGAATGGGGACAATGGTCACCACCTAGCCGAGCGATCAAAATTGCATAAAAATTTCCAATCATTCTCGCTGTTTATAGCTACGAAATTTATTTAAAAGTGAATTAGTTTTGAGGAGGGGAAGCGGTGAGATTAGACACGTATTAATAATTCTTTTTTGGACCGCGAATTCGCCTGCACCTACTGGGACTCTTATCCAAATAAGGTAACTTGGGCAATAATAGAGCTACGCTGCATCTTGTTGATTCCACTTAGCGCTGCTGTGGCATCCCCAAGTGTCCGGTACTTTACCTTATTCAAGTCATCCGGCACGTCATCTATTGCTTTCCTCAGTTGCGGTTTTCCATCCAATTTTCCAACTGCCCTTTCACCTGTGTTGAGAATAAATAAAATGCAATTTTTTTGAATTTTAGGTTAAACATCTCAGTAAAATACTGAAAAGGGGGAAAGGAGGAGACAACCCTATTGAATCTTAGACATTTTTGACTACTCGTAAGATTAAGAAGATGTTACGTCGATGTGCCTTCCATCAGTGAAGAAAGTATGTTCGGGAGTTGATAAATTACCACACCCCACATAAATTCTGCATACATAGAAGACTGAAAAAGGAGAATATATGGACGAATTAGTTAAAAAATATGATGCTGGCACACAAAAGCTACTTGATGTAACCATATTTTTTACTTTTTTCGCACCCAAGTTCCCCACTTTTGTCATTATTTTCTTGTCACCATGACCACAACATCTATTTGTTAAATCAATTCAAGAAATCACCTTAAACCAGTCAGATCTTCTTTCAAAGTATACATTAATGAGGAGAGTCAGGGTGTTCTGTGCCCTTCCTTAACCTGTTGTAGAACTTCATTGCATGGCATTTAAGCGAACGCAATTTGCGTTTTATTTACCAACAAAACAGTGTAGCGAACGGAATCCCAAGCTTTGGCACGTGTTTTGGGAGGTTCACACAACCAGACTAGCCATAAAATGAGTTTATTCCTGCTCCTCTGCTAAATGCGTATTTGTATTTCAAGCAAGGATGTGTTTTCCCATTAGCAATCTCTACATCGGACCATTCAGAGCTCAGTAATGTTGTCCCCTTATGAGTCATCGCCAAACTGATTCCACTCACTCCGGCCACCACATTTTATGACCGTGTTGACTTACTTTGGATAGGCGCCATGGTCAATGTCACTTCTGCATCTAAATTTTTTTTCATTGTTCTTGCAATTTTAAATTACGGGATGCATTTAGAAGTGAGCCAACTCCTGAGTAAATTATGCCTGATTAAAGATAGTGGTGAGACTAAATGGGCAATTTTAATCCTCATATGGATTGCCACTTCGCGTGCGTCTACTAGAAGTGTTTGCATCCAAATAAGGCAACTTAGGCAATAAAAGAACAAAGCCGCATCCTTCTGATTCCACTTCTCACTGTTATAGTACTCCTATGTGTCTGGCACTTTCCAAACTAAAATCGTGTAGTACATCATCTACTACTTTCAGCAGTCACCTTGCTTTTTGCAAGTTGAAAAACTGCTCAACTTCTGTGATGATATTATTTGTAAAAAGCTTTTCTGCAATAAAAAACAGCCTCCACCTTGCAGCAATAACACAATCACGGAGAGTGAGATGAAGAGAGACGTATTTTAATTAAGGACACTTTAAGTTACTAAGACGAAGTAAAAGATGGCACGTCGACGAGCTTCCCATTAGTGAAGTATTTGTGGGAGAGAATAAGTCACCACGCTTTACATAAAAGCAGTGTATGAAATTATTTTACGATTCCTCTGCTATAAATGTCGCACTAAACGCTGCATGTATCAGTAAAAATTTCTTCTCCTTTCCTAATTTTTAGATGTGCTGAAGCCCCGCGACGCATGAATTTGCATTGGTGGTAAATTAGCTTCTCAATTAAGAATCGGAGTTTCATTTCAAGTCTGGACGAACCTCCCAGAGGAGGAACCGTTGCATCTAGAATAAGCTTTTGTCATTATAACCGAAAAAAGTTGTCTGGATACTAATGCAGAATAATGAGTTGGTAATGAGGGAAGGGCATAAAGGCTCTTTTTGTCTAAATGACCGAAATATGAGAAATACCGGTATTTCTCCTGTTTGTATTGACCACTATGTAGGTAATTTTACCCGTAAAATTGTAAAATCGTGGCTACAGGAATCAAAGCATAAGGCGATTAGCCTTTCATTGACTTTGCCACTTTAGCTGTGCAAGTTTTTTGTTCAGGACATCATTTCTTGCCTCATTTACCTCATGGTCTCTATTCCCTTTACGCATGTGGTCCACAAATCCCACTGTGCCCATGATGTCCACGAGGCCTTGGGTTTCCCAATCCACCGTGTCCAGCAAGCTCGAAGTATAGGACGTTGTCGGCTTCGCTCCAACCACCGACGAGCCTTGGCATATCAGCAACACGATAATGATGTTGGGCACTGAACTACCCAATGCAACCATTATCTGCGGCTACCTGTCTTTCACAGTAGAGACGTTGGCTAATCTATGACCCAGGAATATTTTTTTTTTAACAGCTGGGAAGTATTGTTCAGAAATTTACTTTTCCGTCCCTTATTCTATTTCAGACTTCTCATTACAATCAACTGCTGTTTATCCAGGAGACTCACTAATTTTAACGCAAAACAATAATCTCTCATAAAATTAACTTAAAACAGCTACATAAATAGTGTACAGTCTCCCTTAGAAGATCAAGGTGCGAGTGTTTCATATCCGTCAAGCAAAGTGCTCGATATGCTTACAAATAATTGGGAAGGCTATTACACAAGATGTGCTTCTTTGATGGAATGTGGTGTTTGACAACCTTCGGAATGGAGCAGGTACTTGATAATTAAATTTCACTCATGTGACATGCAATAAGGCATAAAGCACCATCTTAGAAGGATTTTGAGAGTAACTTTTCCCCTTTTGCGTGGTCTTCAGGGGTTTGGCTCCTTTTATCACCACAAGCAAAAAACTAACCTCAGTGGACCAAGCGAGCGGAATGTTTTAGAATCTCTGCTCCCTGTGGCAATTTGTCTCAACTAGTGTGCAAAGGTAGAGCCTGAAAAACGTAAACGAAGAATTAAACAGATCATTAAAGTGTAGCACTAAAAATGCATTTCATGGTGCCATTTCCCTAATATAGTTAATCGCTACTGCTTTTGGGAAACTACACGACTAAATAACAAACTTTGCTAATTCTCGTATATTGCTCTACAAATAATTTATTCATATTGTCACCTTCAATCCTCACCCTCAACTTTCGACTTGGATTAAGGTCTTCACTGCGCTGATTCCTCAATTTTATCGGTCTTCCAAGACTGCGCATTTAAATACCAGTTCCTTGTGCACTTAGTGGATTAAATTTAGAAATGCGAGGGCCTGTTTAAGCCCTTCCTTCTCACCACACTGCTCCAGTTTTCGCCTACTGAAGGAGGTTGAAGCAATAAGACAGTTTGTTGTTCCGTTGAAACGTCATCTAAAGGATGGATTAACAGAAGAGAGTTACGCTCACATAAATACCCTTCTTAATTCAGCTAAATAAAGATCACTAAAAAATTCACCTCTTTTCCTTCTTTTGGAGTGTGAAATTCATTTCCTTTACTTTTTATTGTGTAGTAGAAAGATAAGGTTTTACTGAGACGTGAACTGCATTACTTGAAAGTTTTTGCATGGCACTAGATTCATCTTGGCCTCTAAGGATAATACAAGGCATATTTCAAGCTAGTAAGAGGCAGTCAAATTGGGTCCAAGTGAAGTTGCTTCCAACGCTCCACTGTAAGCTACCTGCTGCAAAAGTGCGTAAACACAGGGACAGTCAGATCGCCGCCTAGAAAATTTTTGGATGCAAAATTTACCAAAAATAACTCTTTAAACAGTTTTAATTTTACCTTTACTCTGAGCAACTTGATGAAAAAAGGACGATTAGGCAATTATTCGTCAAGAATATTACTTTAAATTTTTTTCTAGCTGCAAAGTACCTATTTAAGTCCTTTGGGACTGTACTTTATTCTGTATCTTTTGAATGTTTCATTCCTAGGCAAAAATTACAACCGATGCCGTTTTTCGTTCTGTAAATATAGAGCCTTAAAAAACAAATAGCTCAAGTTAAATTTACCCTTTTTGGGTATGGCCACCGGTCCCTCTCTGAACCCTTAAAGGGATGCGAATGTATGGGTAGAACTTTTCGTCCCACGTTCACAGGGTTGTGGGTGGACGGTTAACAGGAATGACATGTTCGACAGACTGCACCATTGGAATGATGGCCAAAAGCATAATAAATTAGGAGTGGTGGCTAGAGGGCATATGCACACAACTTGGACACAAATCATCCTCTCGGAAATCCTCCAACTGGTCTTATTGAAGTTCTGTCAGACGGAGGAGAAATTGTGTTAGATGATGGAGTGTACTAGTGAGACTGTGTCGAACATGAATGAAATCCAAATGCACAGCAGCATAATGGAGGGGGCTAATACGGCGGCATGTTTTGATCAAGGTCTTGTTCGATTATCATGGACAGCCTACATAATTTTGCTTATTTGTAAGCTTCACTTATCATGCATTCTTCCCGCTCTCCGTCAGAACACCAAAGGAACAGCCAAATCCCCAAATCACCGCTGATGTACAAAAGAACTCCTGCAAAACATTGCCCTGTTATCCCATCTGGTTAGCCCTCTTAGCAGCACTCAGATTTTCCTTCCATTATTGCTTCTAAGTTGATGACTCTTAAAGTTAAGCACAGAGTTTGCCACATTTCCATAATGGCCCACTTTACCATTACGGTAGAGGGATTTTCGTGTCTACAGACTTTCAGCCCATCTTGACACTGATGATTAGTCTTATCCGATACCGAAATACCCATCATTTTCATGCTGGGTACTCGAGAGGGCCACGTCGCTATCTTTAATACAACACACCAAAATATTCCACTTTCATT